ATGCAGCCAAGGAGACAATGACTGTTTATTTTTCACCACTGCCAAGTTGATCACTCTCAAGGCATTTAACAAATTGTGTCATTTGTCATAAATATTTTGGACACAAACGGAGCTCCATAGGCCTAATGAGGAGACCTACTGGAGGAGGCTCTGAGGAAACTGCTCTTGCACCACCCAGCCTTGCAGGAAGCACTGGGAGATCTTGCAGGGGTTGTTTATACCAGCTGTGTGCACCTGGCATGCAGAGCACATAGCCACAGCCTCCTCAGCTCTCAGGAGATGTGAGGCAGGAGGCCAGATGGGTATTAAACCCCGTGCGAGAAGGACAAAGGAAGCCCCCAAGCCTGGCAGACTTCACATTCCATAAGGTGGCACCAGCCACAATTCATGTCCCCGTGGAGGCCTGGGGGACCGTGTACTTATGATAATGTCGCCACCTCCTGCTTTGTGGGATCACCTCTGGTACCATGTGTCATTAAGGAAGCTTCGTGTCCTCTGATGTCCTTGGTGTAGCCCCTTTACCTTTGCTCCAATGATCTCGGGATTTCCTTGAATCCTTTTGGAGGCTGGCACAGTTGAAATAATAAATACACAAATGCTCACTATAGTCTCTACTGTGGCTTATAGGATGCCTTCCTTGCCCATGGGAATTCCTTGGGAAAATATATTATTGAATGCATCAATGAAGAGAGAGATGCATATCACCAATAATGGCACCAACAAATATATGCTAAGATCTATCATGAGCCAGGCACTGTGTAGGTGCTAAAAACAATGAAACAGGAATGTGGTTATAACTCCAGTTAGGAAGCCTACATCCCCCAGAGTGCCTGGTTCAATGCCCAGCTCTAGTTCCCAACTCCAGCTTCCTGCTAATGCAGACTTTGAGAAGCAGCAGTGATGGCTCAAGTCATTGGGTTCCTGCAACCCACATGGGAAGCCTGGACCAAGTTCCAGCTCTGTATTTGGCCCTGGGCCAGTTCCAGTCATTGCAGGCATTTGGGGAGTCAACCAGTGGATGGGAGATTTTTCTGACTAAATGTCTCTCTTCCCCTCCAATATAAATTAGTGAATTAAATGAAATGAAGGACAGTCACCACTCTCCAGGATCTTGCAGCATGGTTGGAGCAAGCGGCCCAGACCTTCTCTGCTCATGGAATTTTGCACATTCCCATGCACGTTCCAGCCTCTTTGTCTTTAGGCTGGCTCTAAGCAGTGAGCTGTGGACAGAAGGAATGGATGACACAGGCTGAAGGATTCGATAGCTTCCATCTACCTGCAAGGTCTGGTTCTCTCACATGGAGTCCATAGTGGTCTTCTTCAGCCTGGTTCCTGAGCACCTGTGTGCTGTCCAGACCCTACCTGGTTCCCCTGAGCGTGTAGTGTGATCAAGAACATGAAGCAGTTTGATGTCATGCAGCCGTGACATGGATTTATTACTCTAGCAGATGAATGTGAAGATGAACTTATTGCCCTAGCAGAGTTGAGACTATGCCAACCCTGGGAACACATAGACAAAGACAAGCAAGAAGATAACACAGTATATGATCAACATCCAATGAGCAGTGGAGCTGATATGCTCCAAGTTCATAACGCCAAGTTCATTTTCACCTGGTAGCCTTTGCTTTTTCGGTTGGCGCCTTCCAGTCATTCAGGACTCAGCTAGAATGTGACCACCTCAGTAAGTCTTTCCCAAGCACCTGATCCAATGTGCCTGGCTCCAAACCCCTCTCTGTATCACATCTTTCTTACACTCCACCAAGAGTTCCTGTTTACCATCTTCCTCTTACTGCAAGGTAGGGACAGTAAGAGCGGGGACCTTGTCTTTTACTGACTGCTGGGCTCTCAGCATTGTGCCTGGCATAAAGCAGAACTCAGCAAACAGATGATGGTGAGCACATAATGAAGGATCTGTAGGATCTGTGCAAGGGGAGCAAAGTGTGTGTGTGTGTGTGTGTGTGTGAGAGAGAGAGAGAGAGAGAGAGAAGAGAGAGAGAGAGAGTCAGGGGTGAGTAGGAGGATCACTGAGGGTTGCTATCGCAGCTCCAGCAGCATGAGAACCCACAGGGTGGCCAGGGGTGACCATTAGCTAAGTGGGTCAGCTGGAGTGGAGGAGACCAGTAGGAAGAAGGTGACTGAGAGCCTCAACTGCTAGTCTGCATCTGACCTAAAAGCAAGGGGAAGCTTCCCGAGGCAGCTGCCTGGGGGTGATACCCTCAAACCCACTGCCTGGGAAAGGCTGGCCAGGTTAGGCTTTCCAAGAGACAGGGCCATGGAGAGAGGCTGAAGACAGAGGCTTAGTCATCCGTCTCTGAAGCAGTGTGAGGATCACTGGATGGTAGGAGGAAAATGATGAAGAAAGGATCAATCATCACCTGGTCCAGAAAAGCTCTCTGCTGCCCAGCACCACACAGTTGGGGGTGGGTGGGAGGGAGGAGGAGCCAGGTCTAGAACCTGAAGGTTTGTTCCATTTGACTCTCCAGTGCAATGGTTCTCCCACTATACAACAGCGTCTCTTTGAGCTCTCTGGAAATATACAGTCTGAGACAGATAAGAGCAGGAGCCCAGGGAGATGCCTGCCTGGATTCCTGAGTGCAGAGACCCAACACACCACTCCAATAGAAGCTGCAAGACACATCAAAACAGTACAAGGGTATTGGCATGCCTCAGTAAAATGAGGCCATAATACATCCCGGCTGGCCACAGAGATTTTCTATGAACATGAAATGGGCTAACAGCATATTTTTATGTAAATACTTTATGAATGACTGCCACCACAAAGAACAACATGCACTTATTAGAATTTCACCCCTCTTCTGGTGCACAAACTTTCTTGAGGAGTACTGGGAATTTGTTTAACTAGCCAGAAGAGCTTGAACTTTCTATATGAGGGAGTGTGCTGTTAGAGTAGCTTCACAAGGTAGAGATTGGTTTCTGATCACTGCTGTTGATCACATGCCCAGCCTTGCCCACAAGAAATGCTTGCTGACGACTTATTAATGAGTTCTCGATTATTGATCACTCTCTCTTTCATCATGACCGCTCCCTGGAACTGTGAGTGACACACAAATGGACAGCAGGAAGGAACTGCTACTTCCTCATCAACTTCCTGTTCCTTTCTTCCCCACTTCCTGTCCACACCTCCTTTATATTAGATCTTCCTCCCTCTCCCTAGTCCCCTGCACCTGCACCCCTGTCTGAGTAACTGCAAGCACATAGCTCCAAGCCATGTCATATTCCTCAAATAATCCTCAGTGGGGTAGGGCCAGGATGGAGGTGAGGAGATAAGACATCTCTTTCCACCCCACAGTTTCTCCACATGCATATGATAGGTTGCAATGCTCTGGTTTGTCTCCCCTGTCTCATTTCTGCCCTTCAATGACAGAAGGGAGAGTAGCGTGTCTTTTTTTTTTTTTTCCATCTAGAAGGAGACACAAATTTTTCTTATTGTCTCTGAGAATAAGCACAGAGTTCCCAGCCTGGCATTCAAGCTCTTCCACCAAAAACAAACAAAAAACAGGTGTCAGTCAACTCCCTGGGCCCAGCCCCCAATCCCACTGTGCCTTGGCCATGCCATGGATCCTAGAGAAGCCACTGCTCTGGGCTCCCCTGTCTCCTGGACAAGAATCATTTTTTTCTTTCTCTCATATGCTGAGTTCCCCTTTGGCATTTGGATCTACCAAAACTCTCTCCTTTGACCCAAGTAGCTCACTTCTCTGTGTGCCTTTCCTGACCCCCAAGAGATCTGGTCTGTCCCTTCCAGGCCATATTTCTCCTTTTGATCAGTCTGCCAGGAATCTTCTTCTCCTTCTGCCCATCCCCCTCCTCCCTGCCCACCTGTCTGGGTCACCACCACTTGTTTCTGAGCTCTTCCAGCCTTGGCCTTGGCCTCTGAGCCTCCCCTGAGCCTGCAGGAGACTTGGACGCACCTCCTAAGTGTACCATAGGATCCTGTGCAGTGCATCTCTAAGCACATTGAACTGAAAATCTCTCTTCTTTTTCTCCAAAAACTCAGAACACAGATAGTGCAAGTGCAGCCACACCTGAAGAAAGCAGAACAGCCCCCCTACAGAGGAAACTTTTGCCAGAAGCCAAATAGGCACAGCCTATGTGATGTAAGAGGAATGCCAACCTGGGGAAAGGAGCCAACAAAGAAACTGTCTGGAATTCTCCGCTCCTCATGGGCAGTCTCTTAATCAGGCAGCTATCTTCTCGAGTGTCTGTCTCCTATCTAGTCAGTGAATGAAAGACAATGTCTCAATAAGTCAACTTCCCTACAAGGTCAGGACAAGGCTGGGATTCCGGGTCCCCAGAGTCCAAGAAGGAAATTCCCCCAAATTCAAATGGGGAAAGGGTGCGGCCCAGCCACCCAGAATAAATGCAGTGAGGACAGGGCTCACTCTCACCCCGCCCCCATCGGATAGGCACAGACCCCACCAAGTGCAGCTCAGGCAACAGCAGGCAGTGGCTCGAATGACACGGCTGCATGTGGCGGCCACTGCATTTTTCTCACTGGCTTGAAGCTTGGGAAGTCTGATATGCCTCTTTGAGGTCTGCTCAGTCCTGGCGAATGTGTGGATTTTCTGGGATAGATAAGTATCAAGGGCTTTTGTTGACTTTGTACATGCTGCTGGGAAAATGGGGAGAGCTAAAGCTCTCCATGTTTTCACAGGAAGAGCCGAATGTGCTTTGCTTCTCGGTTAGGCTACAAAGAATAGGTTCCGTGAATTGATCTTAGGGGATAGTGAATTTCCAGTCATGTGAGGCGATCAACCGGGACCAAAGGACGATTGATTGGTCAAGGACTGTACAGGAAGAGAAATCCTTTGGGCAGGACACACAAGCACACAAACATACCTCCTCATTCTTCCACCGCATGCTACCCAGAATGCTGACCCAGTCACTTAGATTTTGAGTCACTGCCACCAAATACCTTGCACATGCTGAACTGACTATGTTTGAAGAGGCCCAGACAAACACAAGCTATGGGGACGCTGTACCGATTTTGGTGAGCCACTTGGCCACGGCGCCGTAGATCTCGTCAAGGATGAGGATGACCACGAGGTTGATGATGACCGCTGTCGCCGTCACCGTCACTCGCACGTTGGAGCGGGTGGCCTTGTTGAGAGACAGGGCAGCTGCGGTTGTGATCCGATACACAATCACCCCAAAAACAATGGAGAATGTCAGGGCGATCTGTTCAGGGAAAACAAGGAGAGGCATACGTCGGCACACAATTATTGAGCACTTTGTTCAACAACAGTACTGTTTGCTCCTGCTGCTAGTAGATATAATCTGGAATCCTTTAGTGCACACCAAGGGAAGTGCAAACCCTCCAAACTCTGACGCAGAATTCCTAGTGCAGGAATATGTTCCAGGAGCTGGTGTCTTCATCAGATTTCCAAAGGTTTCCAACATATTCACAAATAAGGGTGAAAATACCAGACTCTCATGAATACACATCTTACGGGATGTGATTTCTTTCATTAGGAAGCTTTGCAGGGAAGTAAGATGAACTCCTTATTTCTGAATAACACCACACCGAATAATACTAATGGTGTCTGAAGGGCCAAGTGAAGAGTGCAGGTGCTAGGCCAGAGCCATGGCTCACTAGGCTAATCCTCTGCCTACGGCACTGGCACCCTGGGTTCTAGTCCCAGTCCCCAGGCACCGGATTCTGTCCCAGTTGCTCCTCTTCCAGTCCAGCTCTCTGCTGTGGCCTGGGAAGGCAGTGGAGGATGGCCCAGCTCCTTGGGCCCTGCGCCCGCATGGGAGACCAGGAGGAAGCACCTGGCTCCTGGCTTCAGATTGGCGCAACCCATAGTGGCCATTTGGGGGGTGAACCAACAGGAGGAAGACCTTTCTGTCTGTCTGTCTCTTTCTCTCTCACTGTCTAACTCTGCCTGTCAAAAAAAAAAAAATGTAGTTGCTGAAGGGGCCTCCAAGCAAGGGGAGCAAGCTGATCTGGCTGCTCAGGGGAGAGTTTGGGTTTGAAACTGGTCCCTCCACCCATGAGAGGAAGCAGGGAGCCACTGCAGATATGTGAGCTGAGAAAGCATGAGTTTCGGCCTGATGAGTGGGGAAGGTAAGGCTGTTCAAAGGAGAAGCAGGAGAGGTAAATGAGGAGCGAGCTTTTTCAGACTCTCAGGGTTAACCAGTTACCACCCTGAGACTTCGCTCCCAGGCAACTTGAAATAAAGGACTCAGACTTTTCCTTTGCTCAGACAGCTCTTGATGCTGTTTTCCTTGTCTTTAAGGGTCTCCCATTTCTTCTTGCTGGAATCTGGGGATAACCAGGGGTCTCCTAGACCTAGATGGAGCCAACAGCCCTGCCCTTTGCCTACACCTACTGTGTTCCCTCTAGCAATCAAGGAAGGACCATCTCCAGGAAGCACAAGGTTTCCGTATGCAGCAAGTGCCCCAAGGGGTCCTCTCAGAGCGGACAGAGGGAAGAGACCTGCTACATAGGATTGCCCTGCCCAGAGAAAATTCTACTTTGCTTCAGTCCAGGGAGCTCTTTCTTAAAGCTTTCCATAGGCCACGTTTCCTCCAGGGCAGAAGGGACAAGGGACAGAGGTGACAGCCATGAAAGGCTAAGTGGAAAAACTTGGGGAGAGGAAAGGACAGGTGGGTGTCGCCCCTGGGCTGGACCACACATTCCAGAGAGGAGAGGAGGGCAGGACAGGAGTTGGGGAGGGAACAGGGCTCTGGCTGTGTGAGTGACAGGCTAGCAGGCTGAGAATGGGTCACAGGTGGGTCAAGATGTGGATGTCCTTGGACCACTGCAGGGTGCTGGACTGCTGGGGCAGACTCAGCTGCTTCCCACAGCATGCTTTATAAATGTTCGCATTTGCCCTGGGAGCCGCAGTGTGAAAAAGAAGCCCTGGGTTAGGAAGGCAGGGGGGTCCTGGGGTGCAGGGTGTGTGTGTGTGTGTGTGTGTGTGTGTATGTGTGTGCAGGAGAGATTAGATGGGAAAAACACACATGGCGGGAGGCCCCTCTGCTGAGGCCGGTGTAGCTAAACCATCAGCCTCCTGGACTAAGCAGGGATGACTCCCATAGAAGTGGGAAAACCTGGATGTGACATCACCCCTCTGCAACAACGGAGACTTTGTCACTTTCCACTCCCCTGGGATTGTCACCACCAGATAGTAGGGGCCTGGAAAACACGCTGTGAGAGTCTTTCTCCCCAGAATCACTTTTGCAGTAAGGACTAGTGATGGGGCATGGAGGAGGAGAGAGAGAGACCGGGGGAGGGAGGGTGAGAGAGAGTGTGTGTTTGGCCTGGGGTTGAGAAGAAAACAATGATTAAAACATCCTCTGCTTTAGGATCTTGGGTGAGGGGCGTGGAGGACAGACTGGGGAGGGGATGTGCTCCATGGTGCTGTAGGAGGCTCTGGGCTGCTACCCTGTAAAAGAACACCCTTCCTTGCTACTCAAAGTGTGCTCCCTGGACGCACTGCACCCATGGGGAGCACGATTCAAAGGCAAAAATCTCAATCACAGCTCCAGACTTGGAGTGTGCATTTTAACCAGATTCCTCCCGCAGGGTCAGAGCACTGCTCCAGTCACTCAGAGCAGACTCCCTCCCTCCCTCCCTCCCTCCCTCCCTCCTGGCCCCACCTTCATCCCTCCAACACAACCCTCCCCAGTCCTCTGATGGCTCATGGCCATCTTACCTTCTCTGGCCTTGACTTTCTATCCCCGTGCACAACTCAGGTTCTGAACCTGTCCCCCTGTGGTGCCCACCCCACCTCACCACTCACAGTTTTCAAGCTACAGAGGCTCAAGAGCATTCCCAGCCCCATGACCATCTTGAAGGTGGTCAAACAAGTGTGGAAAAGCGAAGTCGGTTGCTCAAGGCCACAGCCATGTACTACCACCCAGGTCTCCTGAATCCTGGGAGCAATTAAAGAACCTTAGGCGTTAGGGGTCATCCACATACAGCCTTGGACCTTATATACAGATCCTTATATTCCAGTGATTTGACTTCGGGATTTTCCACTTTACGACATTACAAAAACAGTGTGCAATCAGTAGACACCGTACTTTGAATTTTGAGCTCACAAAGGGAGACACCTGGTGTTCGGCTGTGCACTGTGTTGTGTTGTGTTTTTTGGATACAAGTTTTCAATACATTCCACAATATAATCAATGTTATGTTATAAAACGGGCTTTGTGTTATTCAGTGTGTATCTGCCCTAGCAGTAATCATTCTGGCAATCATGCAAGATATGCCTTTTGTACATGGGAATTAATGACAATCCTGAATTCAAACACTGCTTTACGATTCTAAAATCTACAGCCCCATCCTGGGAGTACAACTCAGGCCTGCTAGCACTAAACCCAGGGCTATTTCCAACACTTGAGGCCTCATTAGTGGTTTTGTTTATTAACTGAACAAATATTTTCTGACCACTTTCTGCACTGGGTTACTCCATGTTTGTGATCCATCTCCCACAAGGAGATGAGGCCAAAAGGAGACTGGGCCTTGAGCCATATTTGATGGCTTATGCCATTTAGTGGTGGTGCCTCATGGGTACAGCCGGTGTAATGAAGGGCTGCTGATCCTTGGCTCTGGAGGACACGGCTGCCCTACACGGGATTACTTTATCATGGTCCCAGTGGCTTTTGGTATTTTAATCCTGTAACTTTACTTCTGAGACAAACAATTTGCAATGGAAGCCGGGCCACAAGGAGTTCTATTTGACACCGAGAAACAGGAAGGCATGCTGGCCTGTTCCCCATCCTCCCAGATCTGAATTCTGAAGCGAAGTTGAGAAACCCCTTGTGTGTGTGCACGCACACACACACACACAAGTCCCAGCTGGACAGAGACACAGGGCTCTGTTCATGAGCTTCCATATGCTCTGAGCAAACAGCAGGGGGATCACCAGAGAAAACTCCAAGGAGAAAGCTTGTGTCCATTCCTATGGGAAAAGCTTGGAAGAAAGAAGAAGGAGAAGGAGGAATGTTTCAGAAAAGGGAGGAGGTGCAAGTAGAAATGCACAAAGCAGAAGCAACATTGGGTGAGGTGTCCAGGGAGACAGTATCCAGTCCAGGGCACAGCACACAACAGTAGTAGCTCAACTAAAAAAGTACACACTACCAACTTCATCTTGACTTAATAAGCTGCTTCTGCACCTATTCAATTAATGGGCCCATTCATCCCTTAAATCATTCATTCATAAATCATATGTTAAACACCCTTCATGTGCTAGTCACAATTAGAGGCAGCAAGGAGGCAACAGTGAAAGAAACAGAAATCACTGCCCTTGTGGTGTCGGTCTCCCAGTGGGGAAAGATAGACAATAAACCAGCAAATAGGAAAAACACTAGATACAGAACCTGTGGCATGAAAAAAAACACTGCAGAGCCGAATAAGGTAAAACAAGGGCATGGAGGGAGGAGGGTGGGTGGTGACAGGGAAGAGTCAGCCATGTAGTGATGTTGGCTTCTCATATGGAAGCCATGAGAAAGTTCTGAGCAGAGGAATGACAAGAGTTGACTTAGGTTTCTTTGAAAAAAAAAAAAAAGTGTCCTTATGGTCTGAATGGGGCAGTGGGAAGGCAGGGGGATCAGTGAAGAGGTTGCTGCATGTCCAAGCAACCAGGAGGGCTTCTGACAGTGGCTTCCCCATCCACAAGTCTAGGTAAGTGGTGGTGTTGGGTGTGGGATGGAAGCTCAGCTCCCTAATGTTAGAGGAAGGACATTGTCTCTGAACATCTCCTCCTTTATAAAAAATAAATAAATAAAGGGGAGGGGTCAATTCAAAAAGGAAAGAAATCAGGCATGGGCATTGGGCATTGGGCACAACCATTTAGACAGTTTGGGATGCCTGCATCCCATATTGGAGTGCCTGGGCTCAAGTCCTGGTTCCACTCTTCACTCCAGCTTCCTGCTAATGCACACCCTGGGAGGCAGCAGGTGGTGGCTCAAATAACTGGGTCCCTGCCACTCACCTGGGAAAGCTGGGTCGAGTTCCTGGCTCCCTGTTTTGGCTTCTATGATGGGCATTCAGGGAGTGAATCAGCTGGTAAGAGTTCTCTCTCTCTCTCTCTCTCTCTCTCTCTCTCTCTCTCTCTCTCTTTCTCCCCCCCCCCAAAATAAGCAAGTAAATAAATTTTAAAAAATCATAAAGGAAAGAAACTTCAGCTCAACACATGTACTTGGGTAAGAAAGAGAAAACCCATTAT